ACATATATATACATTACAACTTTAAAATTACATGAATAATAAACTAATGACTTTTATATTTTTTTATAGGAATCAAATTAGATGATGTATTAGCCTAAACATCCAAATACTTGAAAAACAGAAATAATAATTATAATATTAATCATATCTTATCATTTCCAAAAGACTACTTAAATGGCAAAATATCTTATTGAAGTTTTAACATTGATAACTGTGTTTGCTTTCAGCTTCAAGCAGATCACTTTTCAGAAGTTACTCATTGATAAAATATGTTTAAATGAATTTAATTTTTCAAAGTATATATGTGCTAATTTATCAAATTATCACAATGAGGAAGAAAAAATTCAAAGTGAAGTCAATAATTATCAATTATATATGTCCATCATTGTCTCTATACTTAATGTAATATATATCATCTTTCTAGGTCCGTGGAGTGATATACATGGTCGGAAAATGTTAATTTTTTTGTCAGTATTTGGTTTTTTATTAGAAAACATAGTAGTTTTTATGAATATCATCTGGTTTGATATATCTGTAAATTATCTGTTATTAGCTGCAATTTGTCCTGGAATTATGGGTGGTTTAATAGGTTTAACAACCGGAACATATAGTTATGTTTCTGATATAAGTGTAGAAAAGTCAAGAACATTGAAATTTACAATTCTTGAAATTCTTGTCAAATTTTCATCCCCTACTGGGACAATTGCTGGAGGATTTATTTATTATCATTTGCATTACTATGGAGTCTTTGGAATATCAACTGGATTATTACTGATATCTGTAATAATATCTTTATTTCTCAAAGAAAGTCTTGCAATAGAAAATCATAATGTAGAAATCAGTACAACAAAATCTTTAAAAGATATCTTTAATATAAATAATGTAAAGGATATGATATGCAACTGTTGGTATTCTCTTGGAAAAAAAGAAATCTTATTGTTGTTTTCAATGTTTGTAGGTGTAATTTGCTATGTAGGTATGTAATACTTTTATTTATTTTTCAAATTATAACATCAAATGATTTATAGTCATTTAAAAAGATACTATTTAATAATTTCAGGTGTTGGAAAAATTGACTTTTTATATTCTGAAAGAATGTTTGGTTGGAGTGTTCCTACTTATTCATTAGTAAATTCCTTATTTTCCTTTGGAAGTTGTATTACTTCTGTTACTTTTGTATATATTATCATCAAAATATTTTACAAGTCTGATGCATTTTTGGGATTAATAGGACATTCTTCCAGCATATTAGAAAATATTATAAAATCTGTTGCTACCAGAAAAGAAATTTACTATGCAGGTAAGATATAATTTTATTTAATTTCATGTCTTTTTAATTAAATACAGCTGTCCCTTGATAATCCGACAGGCAGAGCCGGCCCTACCATAGGGCAAATGGAGTAGCCGCTCCAGGCGCTAAGTCCTAGAGGGCACCTCAGTGGTAAAGAAAATTAAAGGGTATAAATTAGGGGCAAAACAAGGGGCCATAATAGAATCTCACTCCATCCTAAAACTTGCCTCGGGCCGACAGTGCCGACAGGTATGGGACCAAAGGGGTGTTGGATTACCAGAAGTGTCCAGATTACCGAAAGTGATTACATATTTGGCATTGTTTTGCTAGCAGTAGCCTACAATATTCCCTACTCCAACTGTTCGAACAGAACTGCTCACGGAAAACACACGAAATGTGTGTCATCGTGTAAGAATTGGTTGGGGAGATTCACATCGCAACATGCTTCTGTGCAAGCAGACACGTAATGGGGACGGGCACCTTGACAGGAGATGAATCGGACTACTGAGCATGTCAGATTACAAAATGTCGGACTATCAAGGGACAGCTATAGTGTTTAATATATTATTTGTTATGATTTATTTTAATTTTTATGATGTAAAATAATATATATATATATATAAATTTAC